TTTTTTTCTATAATGCACAATGAAGCAATCACTGTTGCATTAATTACAACTTTATTGAGCATTATAGAAAAAAATAATTCAAGACTTTTTGACTCTATTTTTTATAAGGAAGGGATTTTTTAAAATTTAAAGAAATAGCACTATATGATCAATGAGCGCTATTTAAGAACTATTTTGTTCTATAATGCTCAATAAAGCAATAATTACTGCAGTAGTAGTCGCATCATTGAACATTGTAAAAAAATAGTTCAGGACTTTTTAGGCTCATTTTACAAGAAATAACGCCTATATAATTAATAGGCGCTATTTAAGATACACCCTGTATATGCATAATTGACGAAATTTTATAGACAAAACAATCGTGCATTATGTTTCATGGATTTTGCACAGCAATATGAAGTGATTTTTTTTCTTTGCAGATGAAGAAGACATTTTGGAATACCAGTTTCTACACAAGTGAAGATCTTTGTTAAAGTATACGTATACTGATGATAACGCGACCAATTGAGCGAGTGGTCAAGGTATATTTCCATTGACTTTTTGTTAGTTGAATGGAAGTAGCACACGCGAAACGTATATTTATATATTTAATAGGCCAATTTTGATAAAATATCATAGAAAGTAAAAAATATTAAAACTCGTAATAATAATTTATGTATATATATATATATATATATATATATATATATATTATATATATATAACGGCTAATCCAATAAAAGTATGGCCATAAAGGTCATCGTGATAATTAAAGTTTGACAATTTTGCAATATCTATATACCCACATAATTCTCCGACTCTTCAAATGACGTTTATGAAAATGACAATTTTGTATTTGAGAAAATTCGAGGGGGAGGGGGGGGGGAGAGAAAAGGAAGAAAAAGAAAGAATAACGGTGGATAACGAAAGAGGTAGCAGAGGCTTATTTAATTAATCGAAAGGGACCGATGCTAGATGTTTCAAAATAATACAAAAAGCATATCCAATGAAGAAATTTAAAAAAATGAATGTATTTTTCCGTTATTATATACATTTCTAGAAAATTCTCGAAATCTTAGTCTTAAAAAAATCTTAACTTAAAAAGCACGCTTGAGTGTTCACTGCATTCAGTAACAAATGAGAGCTAATGTGATTGGGATAAATCGTATCGTATCGATATACGCGTACAAATTATGTATTATACGTATGTACACGTATATCGCATTTTACCATACCGAGCATTTGCTCACAGGATTCATAGGGGAACCAGAAGGGCAATTGAACACCTGAGCAAAGTCTTTCGAATTAGAGAGCGTGCCGATCACTCGAAATCTACCGGGCGAATGTAGAGCTGTTTTCAGCTTATTTCTCGTCGCTTCGGGACGCATTGAACCACACCACACCTGAGCAAAGTTCAGAAAGAATAATTGTTTTCCCGTCGCACTCATTCCGGGTAAGGTCTCGTCTTCCTTTTCGTTCAAACGTAGCCATCTCTCGTACGCCTACAAAAAAAAGGCACAAATTTTTCAATTGATAAAATTAGAATCTTTAATTCGAGATTTATGGAGGAAAACTTGTGGAATGGCCTATACCCTAAATGCTTGCTTAATGCCGCCGTTATCGGCAATATTTTCCCCTTGCGTATTAACACCATCAATCTGCATTCCAACTTCCGTCACGGTATAACGCGCGTATTGATCTGCAAGGAGAAACAAAGGCAAAAACTCCCGATTAATGGGATTAATCGATAACGTCTATTGCGTGTCGCGCAATATTTATTGATCAAAGAGGAAATTTTATCTCTCTCAATACCAATGAGACATTGCGCTCGCCGGTGAAAACCATCGATCGCCTCATCTTTCCACCACCTGTGAAGGTTCCCATCTTTGTCAAACAGTCTGCCTTTATCATCAAATCCATGAGTAATCTCGTGTCCAATCACAACACCGATTCCACCATAATTTAAACTTCGTGGAAAAAATCTGTGATAAAAAGGTGGCTGTAGTATACCCGCTGGAAACACTAGAAGACAAAATGAAAATTTTAGATAGTTGAGACGCAAAAATGCGACAAAGATAAAAAGCCTCCTCTTAAATAAGAGGATCTACAACTGACTTATCTGATTTTTATTGCGACTGTAATAAGCGTTAACGACCGCTGGAGCAGTGTTCCACAAAGATTTATTGACAGCGTTGCCAAGGCGAGCTTGTTCGACTCTGGTTAAGTGTTGCAAAATATTTAAAGTATTCTCAAAGTACTTGTCCGGTCGAATTATAACCTGTGTTAAAATAATAAATAATTAATTATTTTAGTTAACAACTCGTCTCTCTCTAGTGTAATCATACTTTGTTACGTGTCGTTACGGCGCGCGCGCGCGGCGCAGGCAGACGCGCGTCTTAACGACGACATTTTATATATAAAGGTACGTTACGTCTTTGTAACGCTCGTTCAATAAATGTGACTGTAGAATAAAGTCTGGATAGCCGATTCTCAATGACATAGCGTTTACTTTTTCAGTCGCCAAACGTTTTGTTTCGTTGTCGATCCAAGTGATTCTATCTAGTAGCTCTCTAAAGGATCGTTGTATCTCTCGAGTCATCGATAATGTCTGTCGATAAATGAAACAAAACCTGTGTGTGTCCTCTGTGCGTTCAGCATATATTCAATAGAGGAAAGATATCCCATTTCCATTTTTCCTTCTTCCCCTTTTCTTTTATACAAATTGTACTAACAATAAATCACAATATACTCAACCGTACTTTTTTAAGGAGGATACTCACGTCGTTTTTACTGTTTTCATCGAAATACTTTTTGACAAACATCGAACCAACGGCCATATCCATGTTAGAATTGACTTGGGTTACGCAGTTTTTCCATCTTGACGGTGCTTGTTCTCTACCGAACAGAATATAGTAAAATTTTTGTTTCACTTCCTGGAAGCGATCGTCCAAGTTGTTTACTCTGTGTCGTACAAATCTCCATAAGAGATAATTTGCCACTGTTCTGCAAAAGTAAGGTAAGAAGAGAGATTATTCGTAACGTTTATTTTATACGCATATTATTATGCGAATTAAAACTACAAGAAGAAATGCAAATGTAGGAAGGTAAAGTTGCAACATGTAAAAATATCTATAGTGCACCTAGGTTGTGTCTTTGAAAGTAAAACAACCAAATCTTGGATGTATTGCAACGCGAAGATGACAATTGGTTCGGAAAAATGTATCGGTCGAGCCAGGACGATCGATAAATAACGACGCCAATCGATTTGCGGCACGAGTGCTCTCAGTTCACCTATACTCATTCGTTGATAGAGCTCTGAAAAATTTCGTCTTTCGTCCGGTGACGATGTAATCTACGAGATTGGAGATTAATAATTGTATGTGAGAGGCAAACAAACTATTATATACGATAAATGAGAGGAGGGAAAATGACATATAATAATATACGCACCGACGCGAGTTGCGTTTCGAATTCAACCAGCTCTTCGGCATCAATGGTCGCATTATCTGAGGATGCACCAAGTAAGATTGCGATTCTCATTAAGTAATCCTTGTATGCTTCTAGGTAAATCGCGTTGGACGGTTGAAGGAAATAATCCCTTGTAGGAAGTCCGAGCGACGTTTGATCAAGCTGCGAACGAGGATCGGAGTTAATTTCTCTGTTCCTTATTTTATGGCAAGACAAGGCGCACGATACGATGATTGAGTTACACTGTTACCTGTATCACGTACTTGTCGCTGTTTTTAATATCTGGACCCACCCATTCAGAGATTAATATGTCATTATTATACAATCGAAGTTGCGCGGTCAAGAAAAGCCAGTCGAATTTGTCGGGATCCCAATCAGGCTTTAAAATCGGCCAACCTCCAAGTTGATCCAGAAGCTGAATGAGTGGTCGTTCCATACGTTGCTCCAAGATCTCTAGTCATATTTTTACCACGTTAAAAAGCGCGCGCCCGCCCTCTCCCCTCTCCCCCCCCCCCCCCACACACACACACACACACACACACACACACACGCGCGCGCGCTAATTTTCCTACATACTCGCCTACTTACCGTAATTCATGCAACTTTGAAACAGATGTTTCGCCTTTATTATAGCATCGTTTATCTCACCAGCGTCGACATCACGCGGTATCGGGTCCTCTAGCAATTCTCTCAGTACAGAATCCAGCGATTCCCTGAGCATCTCGAAAGTATCATAGCCGGCTTTGTCTTTCGGAATAGGATTTTGTTTCGCCCAATTACCACAAGCGTATTGATAAAAATCTTGACACGGATCCACGCTCTTGTCCATGTATTTCAGCATTATTCGAGCTACATTCAATAAGTTTACTTATTTAGCTGCGACTTTTCTTTCATATTTTACTGATAAATTTGAAAAAAACAATGGTATATTTTCGCAAGTATACTTTCTATTCTATTTAATGCGTCAGCGAGAAATTTCAAAGAGTAAAAAAAAAAGATTGTGGCTAAATTAACATAATATAATATATACCTCGAGCCTTTCTGATACTTGTAGCGTCCTCTTCGCTTTTCCAGAATGTACGAAAATCAGGCATTTCATCGTTCTGGATCGTAATATGTCCATCGGCCACCGATAACCATGTTTCATTGATGGAAATGGAGAAGGAATCTTCCTCTTGGGTATTTGCTGCTAATTCCCCTTTCGATCGTTTCTCGATACCTATATATTCGAGCGAATCTGTTTTATTGTTAAATGGCATCACTTCTTCTTCCTTTCTGAATATATTGAAAAATTCATTTAATTCGCGATTTAATTGAAATTTGTTTGACGATAAGAATTAAAATGCTAAATCAATGTATTGATCTTTAAGTAATATTTTTATATACTATGTATGTAACTCGTGAATAATGATAGTTACACTTCGTTCCACTACTTTCATAAGTATCGTCTCTCAACTCTCTCTTCTTCCGGAGATAGTAATCGCCTAAGAAATTTTCTCCGACAGACCGTGTATTGTTGCTTTCAATTGCGTCGCCATTCTTCACCTATGCAAAATTTAATGGCAATCGAGGAGATCCTTTAATATCGAATTAATCGCTTACACACACGTACGAATTGCGTACGCGATATACGCACACACATCTTTGAGATGATCATGATAATGATCATTGTCACCCTCGTACACTAAAATGGCACCGAAAGAAAAAAAGAAATTTAATTCCATTTATTTTTACTATGTATATAGATACTTTCTTCTTTTTCTTCTTTTTCTTTCTTTTACGACTATTTACGTTGCGTCTATTTGATTTGACATCGCGTCGATAAACAAATTTTTATAATTAGAATTTGTATAAATACAAGTTGATATGCAGATTATGTTGCTAATGAATTCTTTTATCTAATATATAAACTTCTCTCTGATTCTTTTATAGATTCAATATATAATATCAGAAAATATTGCAATTAAAAGGATGAATTTATAATTGTTACGATAGATTTTATAACTATTAAGTGAATATCGTGTGCTTAGAACCAACTTGTTTCTGGGAATTGCGAAAATTATCGATATAATGACACTGACATAATGACAACTTCCTAATAGTTAGCAACACTACACGTCCACATTTATTTACCTGCTTGATTCTGTCGATTCTGTCGTACAGTCTCATGTAGTCTGAAGTCAAGAAGGATCTCTCCGTTCTATTACTTTTCTTGTCTGATTCTTCCCTCGAAAGGGAATCTGCCAATTTGTCATTAGCTAAACCAACGTGTGCACGAGATGAAGACATCGTCCGATCGACCCATTTGAAACCATCCCTCGTGTGGTTCTCCTGAAAAGGTTCGTGTTGTCTTGGGGATATTTTCTTGCCATTTATGGCATGTGTGGATAATGATTGTAGACACTCAAGGACATGGGAATAGAACAGGAAGATGAGAGAGAGAGAGAGAGAGAGAGAGAGAGAGAGAGAGAGAGAGAGAGAAAGACTAATTGTAAGATAAGACTAAGACGCGAAAATGAAAAACAGTAGGAATATAAAAGGAGGAAAAAGGGTTATTTTTTAATCAGAGAACCAAATTTGGGATCGTCTTGAATTAGTTTGGAGATTAAGTACCCCGATGTCTCTTTTGCGTCGGTGGGGCGATTTCGATCGAAATGAAGGATGCGTGTCTACAGGCACGTAACTCGTTTTCATATCGGGAAGCAAAAGTCGGTCCTCTTCTTCAGTTTCTTCTGCCATACGCTCTACGTCGTTGTGACTGGTAGCTGATAATGTATAATTAATTAATTTCAATTTTTGAAAAGCGTTCTTATAAAACGTATCGCAATTAGACAACTTTTTTTATTTCTATGCGACGTCAAGAAAATATCAATATACATATTCTGACTTGTTTAAAAAAACACAGTTCAACAAAAAAAGAAAACCACTAGAATAAGATTAATCAGTCTTGTTTCCCGTAATTTTTTGGAAGCCAAATCCAAATACGTTTGTAAAATTGCTCTATCACGTCACAATGTTAAGAAATGTGCAGGAAAAAAGTACTATTCACATATTTCGTCATATCATAACTTCAAAATGCGATGTGCTGATGGAGAAATGTTCTTGCAATCAAAATTAGGTATATTGTTAGAAGTTTCAATCTTCAAAAGGAATTTTTTGCTGTTGTGATTAACAAGTTTTTTATTGTTAAACATGGAGTCTACTGTGGAAAAACTGTATGAATTAAATCATTCAGACAATCTACCAAACGGTTTTCAATTTTGTTTATTTCGCGACTTAAGTTTTTTTTTAATCGCTGACTATAAATCCAATATCAAAATTGTCAAACTGCAAATGGCGAATTCAATATAGCAGATGTCAAAACTGGAACAATGTTTAAAAATGTGTGTGCGCGCGTGTGTGTTTATATATAAATTTTATATTAGATTTGTATTTAGTGATTTAAAAAACTCAATTTAATTCATGCAGCTTTCCCGCAAAAGACCGGCCTATGTTTAACCGGCCTTAACAATAAATAATTTGTTAAGCATAATTCCTTACACAAAAAATTCCTTAAAAGCACTAACACTAATTAATTTTGATTATAAAACATTTCTTCAGCATATTGCATTTCGAAGCCATAATATGACAAAATACGTGAAAATAGCCCTTTTCTGCAAATTACCTATAAATTTTTCAAAATCATAACGTGATAGAGTAATTGTACAACCAGATTCGGATTCGGAGTGTCGAAAAAAATTACTTGGGAACTGACTAATCTCGTTATGGTGTTCGACAAAAAAATAATTTTTTGTTGAACTGTGGAAAATATATACTTTTACATGTTACTTTAATATTTTGTTCATCTCTTTATTTAATGCGATTGCAAATAATAATAAGACGAAACTGATTAAGATTTTTGGTTTCGTAACACACATCTATCGATGTGATACTTAAGATGGAATATGCCATTTACAATTAGTATATTGAAACAGATTTAATCCTCTATCGTTGAAATGAAGACATTAACTAAAAATTGCTATATCTATAATATTGTGAATAATAATGGAAACTCTTAATTGTTTTTTCATTAAATATGTATATTCGCGATCATAGAACTTACGCCAAAAGACATTTTCGATTTTCTCCTTGTCCTGTTTCTGCATCTCATAAATGGAGACCGCACGTGAATCGGAAGTTTTGGTTGTGGCTTGAAATCGCGATAGAGCGATAAACACTATAGTGATTGGCAGCAACACAGCGGGTATGAGAAGCATCAGTTTGACACGAAAACGCCGCGCTTCACTTCCGCCAGTACACCACCTGATTTTTGCAAAAGATTCACTCACTTGTTAAAACTACGAGAAATTTGTATCGAATTGTGTGAGAAAATAAACATGGAACTTTTCACACACTTGAGTCTACCAGTTTCCTTATCAATCGCCAATCTGCACGATGGACATGGTCCATCGCTACAGAAGTCATCGTCGCTGAATTGGTTCAAGTTACTGCCACTTTGCATTTTCTCTGAAAAGAATTAAACCTATCTCCATTAGATAAGATTAATCTAGTATATCACGTACTATTTATTAAAGTAGAGGGAAGAAAAAAAGAGAGAGAATATATTCCGTTTGAATTATCTATTTAGGTTTATTAAAAAAATAAAATTTATCCATTTCCATTATCCATTTACTGACCAATTTGTATGTACAAACTATATAGATTTTGATAATGGTAGAAATTAAAAAAAAATTTTTTTATATAAGAAGGAAAACTAATCAAAAAGCTTCTGGATCATTCTCATCCAATTCAATTCAGCAAAAGGAAGTAAAAATTGTGTTTAAACAAGAGAGAAGAAAAAAGAAACATACTATTATTTTTGTAATTTTATATGATAGACTCGAAATATACTGCGAAATTTTCGCGATGTAACTAATTGTACAGATCCGATCGTTCAACTCACTCTACAAATGCAATTACAGCTTATCCCCACTCAACTAATCTTGAATAATCACAAATCTTGAATGACAATGTACTCGCGCGGTGTTAAATGCGCGCCAAAGTCGAGCAGAGAAATTGCGTTACATGCCCGTTTGTCTTCGCGATCAAAGCACAAATGTCGAGAGCGCGAGTGTCTACGTACTCTACGAGAGCAAATCTGCCAAGCGGCCAGATTTGTACCAGAATAATTTACATACGTAAGGTCGCAACGCCCGTGTAATCGCGAGATCACGCGAGAGTAGCAACCAGGCCGACCGGAGAGACACACGGCTTTGTACATGGCACGCACACGTTGAGAGACATTTTACGCGCTCCTTACATCGAGTTACTCGAGTCAATCGACCCTAATAACTTGCAGTTATCGTTCAATAACACGATACGCCATATTTCACATTCTACGCGCGACCCCTCGTTATTATTATTGAGTCTATCTCGTCATTCATCATACTGATCATTCTCCGTTCCAACTTACCAACGCGACGTAACGCGATATCTTCTAACATCTTTATATGTATATTCATATAACGATAAATCAGATATATAAAAATAATACAGAGAGACACGCAAAATACAATGCCAATGATATATTTGTTCGTTTTTTAAATTGTTCCTTGGAATTCAGTTTATAATTAGAATTATAATCTTTTAATTGGCTATTGCCTACTCACTTTCATTATTCTCTTCTTCGATAGGATAATCATCATAGTTTGGTAAAATGTTCCAGCGAAATCTATTGTAATCGTTTATACTCATCTTTCGTGGGATGACCTTCATCGTTATTAAAGTCCTATCAGTCCCGTCCGTGACAGAACTGCGGACACGTGTTAATATCTTGATGATATATAAATGACTGATTCATCTGATTAATTCTTAGTTCTTAAATAATAAAAAGTACGTTAATAATAATTTTTATCATCAAAATCATTTATCTTAAATCGTTTATATCGATGAGATAATAAATTCTTTTATTTAATTATGAATTTTGAATTACATTCGATATATGAAATCGAATTAAGTTATTTTCCTCTCTTTCATATCTAAAGCTATTTTTTTTTTTAATTATGCACTTGAATTTTCTCCAAATTTAAAACTAATTTTTATGGTTATCGATACACATAAGTAATCTGAAAAACGTATCGAGAGAAGTATGTTACAACAAATATTACTTGAAAAAATCGAAAAGCAACAACTATGACTTGAATTAACATTTTAAATGGAAAATTTGGGCGCATTACTATTGAAACGCGCATTAAAGAATTAAAGTTTCAAATTACTATAATGTGCACGGTAAAAGCACGCGCGCAAAAATTACAAAAAAAGATATATATCGTGTGTACACTTTTGATGATTCACTGTATGAAATAAACAGAGTCATACACGCGCAGAGAGTAAAATGATTGCATTTGTCGCAAATAGTAAATTAATCTACGATTTTATCGAAACATTAATTTTATTAATTAAAGCTTAAAAATATCCATACTTTTACATACTATTTGTTGATACATTTAACTATCTCGTAACAGATGCTTTCAAATTATGGTAATGAGTGTCATCTATACAATTTTGCCGCCTAAGCGCAAAATAAGATGGCCCTGCATACGATATCATTGAACTGCCCAAACATTCCTCTCCAGAGTATAAAATAGCATACTGAAATTTATATTTATATATGACATAAATTAATCGATATCGATAGATCGCAAATTAGTGTGTAAAATTAAGCGATAGCTAAAAACAAATGCGCGCACGTTATAATTTAATTTCTTGTGTAAATAAAACGTGGTTGGATTAATAAATAACCATTTGGTCGTAATTTTATTATTATCGCTATAGTATAAAATGTCGAAACGCGTCAAGGCGAGTCGTAAGAGTGTTTTCATCAGTTGCTACGTTGTAAAACTTGTAAATTACCTGGCCCTTTGTAATCGCTCGTAAAGGTGCATCGAGACGGATAAACAAGCGACCGCTAGACACCTTGTACACCTTGCAAGGAACTAATGGATTTCTGTGTTGAAAGCGAAAATTACAATTCAATACACCGTTGTTCAATTTCAATTCGTGTGGCTCCTTATTGATCCAATGAATTTCCCGCGTTATCAAAAAGTCAGAATATAATGCTGGATGAGTTGTACCACCTACCTACCATCATAAGAATACTATTGATAATTTATTTTCAATAAAATCTTGATTTATTTTCTTTACCCCATGAGTGGGGTACCATACCACGTACCACTGTAATAGTATTTGACTTTTGATCCTTGCTAAATACGAAATAAGGCTTGAGACAACCAGCAATTTTACATCCTTGCCCTATTGTCCGTTTGTGAATGCCATTGTGTCTACCTATCAGCAGTCCACTATCGAGATCTATGTAGTCACCAGGTTTATCTGTTATATACTACACCATCATTACAAAATCATTATTATTACATCCATCTTGCGTTTTATCTTATCAAAAACAATTACGACGAATTAGAAGAGAATCTTTGTATCTTTTACCTCTGAAATAAAATCTTGAAACTCACGTTTTCCCACGAAGCAAATACCCATGCTTTCCCTCTTCCGTGCTATTTGGCACAATCCTGCTTGTGTAGCTATCATCTTTACGTGACTTTTTAAATAATTCCCAAGAGGAAACATGCAATGTCTCAAGGTTTGTTGTGGCACTTGACTCAAGAAAAACGTTTGATCTTTATTGTTATCTTCTGCCTGTAACAAGCGTACATCTACAAAATTATAATAGTCCCATTATCACTGTTAATTAAAAAATATTCAGTTGCTGGATTAATTTTACTTAGTATAGGATACTTGCTAGTGTTTGCTTTATAATTCTCTAGATAAGGCCCAAAGCTTGTTTTAGCGTAATGACCTGTTGCAATTGCATCTGCTTGAAATCTATTACGTGCAAGATGAAAAAATTTATCAAACTTGATATTCTTATTGCATAAAATATCTGGATTCGGAGTATATCCATTCTGATATTTTTCCACCACATCACTGAAAAAATTTAAATAAAAATAACGCTGTCCTCATTCGTGATGCAAACCTGCCTGAAAAAGTTCAAGTACCTAAAAACCTCATTCCAATATTCTTTGACAAAGTCAATCTGTATCAAAGAAATTTCCAATTTGTCGCAGATCCATCGGGCGTCATTATAATCTTTCTCAAATGCACACTTTCCTGTTTCTTCTCTACGGTCCCAGTTTTTCATAAATATTCCAATAATGTTGAATCCTTAAAAAAAGTAATGTAACATATGTATTCTTGTATGACACGTATATTAATGAAACAGATAAAGTTAGAATTTTCTTTACCTACCTTTGTTTTTAAGTAGAAAAGCTGTCACGGCGCTATCAACACCACCAGATACCCCCACAACAACATTTCTAATCATCTCCATGGAACAATTGATATAGATCTTGATGGAGTATATCACTTTTTTTCGTAAACTTTTTAAGCGTATTAATGACCCTACACGGAATAGAATGAACATTATAGATGATTTAAATACATATTTGAAATTACTGTGGCGCCGCATTGTATATAAATTAAAGTATAATAGTTAAAAAATTATGCGTAACTACACGTGTTACTATGATAAGTATTTAAGTGCCTTCGACCGATGACAATTATGAAATAATTGTTTTATATTATAATACATGTAAACGACAATACATACACTTTTTTATGGACGCCTCTTCCACCGGAAAATCCAGCCGATGTGGAGTCTATCTTATATGTCCTATGTGCAAAAAGCGATAGAGATTTAAATCGAATAAATTAATACTTGTCGAGATTTACCGATAACACAAGATGAACGCACATTGAGCACAGAACGTCGAATTGAACGGTTAAATTTTGTCTAATTGTAAAAGCGCAACGAACGCACGTTCAGCATTCAGGATATCTAGATTGCAAGAGTATTGAGTTATACTTATATACAAGCCACAGACTTGAACGTACTAACTAGACTGCCTACTCTGTCGCTATTTTTGATGCTAGATATGAGGACAGACATTTCTATAGGTTATATACTAACACGTATAAATGTAAAAGTGGAGTAGTACATACATATACTTTTCACGTATCACACACGCGCGCGCGCGCGCGCGTGTCACTTGGATCACGTGGTATACTCACTGTGAGCACACATATGTGACATATGCAATATAGACGTAGCAATGTCGGCTCATTGTCAGAGATTTACTTTTGTCTCTTTCTATTTTATACAAAACCGACTGGACAGTCTAGTTAAAATGTTAAAATAAATAGAAGTCTGTGAAAGAGGAAGAAAGGGAAAGAGAGAGAAACAAACCGGCCACGCCGGATGAACAGCACGGACTAATGCGGACACGCGTATGTGCTGTATTTTGTACATATCATACACGTACCTTGGCGAGGCTCACGTGGCGAGACTCCTGCACGTCTGAAGGGAGCGGGAGAGGGATGAAAAGAATCTCCTCTCTTCTCGTATGCTCGTATTTCTCCGGATGACTCGCTCTCTCCTGCTCTCTCCGGTCCGGAGTCCATCCTGTTTTAAATCGAGACCGCAATAAAATTTTGCAACATTGCGCGACCCTCAACTCTTTGAAGAAATCGCAGTCGTGTTGGAGAATGATCTTGATGACAACCACGTGGCGGATTATTTTCCTCGTTCTCGGTCGCGCGCTTCAATCGTTTGTCATGACTTTGTGCAAGTGCCATACGTATGTATGTATGTACGTAGTAAGTACGTGATTTGAGACTCGCGCGTGAGTCGCTGAGCAAAGTCCGTCGGCCAATCGACGCACAGCTTTCTCCGATCCCGGTCAGCGACCAGTCAAGCTCATTGAGAGATAAACATACGTCATACGACGCATACGGCATAGCGCACAGCGGCTGAGCGGCACAGTGCACGTCACAATGTCGCATGGTGCGTCGTAACATGTGCGAGACGAAATGTGAGGAAAAGCTGTGACGCCTCGAATCGCGTGCTACGGCACTGCACGGCACGTATTAAAAAAATGCAAAGTCACCGATGGTCTTTCGACAAACGGCGCGATCTTATTGCGGCAGCAAGCCGTTTTGCGCAGTTCCCATGACCCAGATTACAATGGGGGGTTCGCTCGTCTCTTGGAACAGCTGGGTGAGCGGTTGGCTACGAGATCGCGGTCGCGGGGAAACGCTCGGCTACTCACGCGTACCGTGCCGCGCACGCGCATGCCTCTTACGCCTTGCTGCGCCTTGCGCTAGTTGCGCCTCGACGCGGCGCAACGCGATGGCAATTCAGGACCGTGCGTACTGTTGAGATTTCTTCGACATTCTTTGGCGCCCCCTTAATTCGTGGAAGGAAATATCGAAATTCGGATATGGATATATTGAAAGCGCGCACATGCACGAGCCAAACTCGTTTTACGTTTGCAATTTTCATTTTCATTGCGAGACGTTTCCGCGAACAAATCCAAAGATAAAAGGCCAAAGCTCGAAAAAGTAAATGGTACTGATCGCGTTGTAGAGTAACACTAGTCGAATATCCCAAGTATTTGTCGTGCAAATTTTTGTTTGCCTGACAAAAAAATAGTTTGTGTCGATTAGAACCTCATCATTCGCGAGAGAGAGAGAGAGAGAAAAGAACGTCAGAACGCGCGAAATACGCGCGCTTTCGCGTTTACATAATTTAGATCGCGCAGTAGATTGTGTGATGCCAATAAATACCAATCGTCTGTAATACATGTATATGTAAGAACAATGTATATTGTCGCTGAATTTATGCGATTTATAGAACGAAATTGTTCTTATATCTCCGTTCCAATCAATTTTGAACGCGAAATACCTATAGCTCGCTCACGCGCGTGAGACTCGTTGGCGAGTGATTCCGCAATGCGAATCGAATTTACCGATGACAAGCGCGTATGCACACAACAACCGCAACCAACTGTCGCGGGACCTTGAGTTGGGATCACGAAAATTAGAAATGTTTAGGAAGCAACAATACGCGCGCTTCAATTTCAATTTCTATAAATTCGGATTTGCCCACGTATCGTTTGCTCCGATCGGCGGTGAATGTCGCTTTTGGCCACAATAGCCACATTTCTGGCGGCAAAGCACTCTCCACTCTCTTGAATCTCGCGTCTCGTCTCTTGTCAGTCTTGTCTTGGTGTCTTGATCGCGCTGTGCCACCGCGGCCGTGATCGGCTGACCGGTCCTAGACGAACATCGCTCGTCGCGCCACGAACGGCACGGATGGCAGCGAGCATCGTGGGAGGTGGAGGCGCTAGTCGGTAGCAGCAGCACCCGAGTGTGGTTGGTAACAGAAACGACGCTGGTCGCGCCAATACGCTCCTGCGCAGTATCTTCCCCCACTATTGTCTCTCGTCCCGCTACGCTGCGCGACCAGTCGGTTCCTTGTTTGCCATCACAAAATCCAATAGTTTGCCTTGTATCGCTGAAGGAGTAAGGGTGCGTGCTTCGGCGATTTCACGTACGCCGCGTACGCGTCTTATGGAAAAGTGCAGTGAATCCAATGAATCCAATGTAAAGCGCGCCTCTCGCTTACGCGAAAAATGTACATTATCCCGTGTTTGTTTACCCATACTACGAGATTTCGCCGTTGCTGAGGAGTGATTTCGCGCGCGCGCGTATTCGTGGAAGCGAGAACACAGTGAATTCCTACGGGCAACCGGACCGACCGGCCCGTTAAGGCTTTGTCGATTTTTTGGTCGTGAAGAAACAACGAACTAAAGAAGAGAGTGAGACAGAGAAAAGGAGAAAGGAAAATAGGTGTGGAGCACACAGAAATTACGCGAGAGGGAGGAGGAGTTGAGTATATGAGGAGAAACAGAGTGAGACAGTGAGAAAGAAAGAGAGAGAGAGAGAGAGAGAGAGGAGAGAAGAAGAGAGATAGAGTGCGCGCGCGCGCGCGCGCGCACGAATGCTGCTGTGTACGCGGATGCGTACGTGTGTGTGAACGGAGCGAGCGAGCGCGCGAACGCGAACGGAAGAGGAACAGAGAGAGGTGAAGACGACGAGTGAGAGAGAGAGAGAGAGAGAGAGAGAAAAAGGAGAACTCTAGTGTAAGGGTCGATTATACGTCGTCGAGAAGCTCGACCGCGAGGGAAGAAACTGGTGATACGCATCGAGGGTATACCCAACCAAAGGTTCCTCCTTTGGCGGCGGCGGCGGCGGTGGTAGTAGTAGTAGTAGTAGTGGTGGTGGTGGCGGCGGCGGCGGCAGCGGCACGGCAGTGGCGGCGGCGGCGTCGGTGGCGCTTCGCGGAGGAAGTGATCGCACGCGGCGCGGACCTACGTTACTTGTCGCGGAGTTCGCTCCGGGAATGCGTTATGTATTTACGTAGAATATTGCGTAACATACAAGAGACCGGCTAGAGTGTGTTTAAAAACGTTCGACGTCTTGGAATTTCGCGATATAGGTTGACGGGGACAGTAGAGTGCGAATTGACTGTACCGGCGCAAGTTTCGCGCGTGCATACGCAGCAGGAATCCAACCCGGCCACCGACGCGATCGAAAGTTTCGGGGGAGCCAGAGGAGAGTCGGCGACGCTAGTGCACGACTCACAGCGACAACCAAGAGGACGTATCTCGATCTCGACGTCATACTGCTCCTGGTATCCCTCGTCGCACTTGTACGAAACGTGGAAGATAGGGACGCGAAACGTGTTTTTGCAGATGGAAATTGGTACGTATGGGAAACGAAAGAGAATGTCTGAGAAGGAGAACGAGAACGAGAGAATAGAATCCGCCCGCGACCACAACGTCCGGAATGTTTATCCGTGGGTTCCTCGTCTTCGTCGCATTCAACGCGTATTTTTTTTTTTTTTACATATGCGCGGCAACCGCGTCGACAATTCTGCAATGGAGCTCGATCAAGTCTCCCCTCCCCTCCTCCCCCTCCTTCACATCTCTCTCTCTCTCTCTCTCTCTCTCTCTCAGCTCTCAGCTAGCACGAGTTTACAACTTATTTTTATAACATGCTTCACATGCTTCTGTCTCGAGGTTTGTGCGTTCAAAACGCGAAAAACTCACTCAGTTTCTTTGCAAAATATTGCCTTTTAAAATGTCCCCAAAACTTCACTGCCACGATAAAAATCTATCTTTATGTGTGCTTGTCGAATTAACTTTAAACAATTGTGAAATTATCCGAAAATGAGATAATATACTTTCAATCCTAAGAAACGAAAACTTAAGATCTTCTAAATAACCTAACTTTACATAATTTTCACACGTTGAATTTCCTACACCTTTTGAAACTCATGTAGAACTCATTCTTTAATCACGCACAGATTTATTTACTTGAAAATATTAACTAGTAAAAGAATTCTAATACATATTCTTTTACACATAATTTGACCATCTTTTCCTGAGTTTCTGATAAAATGATTAAACATTAATTGAACGCCAGACATGTATACATGCCTATATTTGAAGTATACTTCGAAACTTGTGTACTGTTGCCTATATTTTATGTTTGCCTATTTTTATATTCATATAAATATAAATGTACTTAAAATCAATATTGAATCTCAAAACATCTCTTTGTATGTATGTTATGCGTGTATGTGCGTGCGTGCGTGTGTGTGTGTGGTGGGTGTGTGTGTGTGTGTGTGTGTGTGTGTGTCAGATTTATTTATAATTTTAAATTGAGTCTGAATTGCCAAAAATATAAATGAGTGAATCTAAACTAACCTTCTCCAAAATTAATTTAATCAGCTTTAAACATTTCAACATTTTATTAACAAAATTAACAAGCTTTGACTTGTCATAGGACATAAATGATATCCATACATTGTACAAAAAGCAAGTGATACAATCTGATATATGATACATAGTACCATATCAAGATAAGCATACAAGTATATACGTATGTATATGGCAAGCACATTGAAATATATTTAATGTCAATCTTTTGATAAAGATCCATTTCTTAAATGGCTATATATTTGTAGTGTTATTTGTATCATTTCTATTAACACATTTTATAATTAGAATAATTTTGATATTCGCATAATTTTTCAAAATAGAAAATCCATCTGACAAAATCTACCATGTAGTCAAGTTAAATTCTTATTACATATAAACTGTGCCCTGAACTTGTATCTTTACTGAAAGAATGATGTTTTTGATAGGGATTTATTATAAGTTAAATTGCGAAAAACAGAGAAGGAACCTCTTTTGGAATTTTTATTTCAGCACCTTCAATGTGATTTACGATGAAACGTGTTCGCGGACTGGACGACGTAGCATCACCACCAGCAAAGCACTCGTCGGTGAGCACAGCAAGTGGTTTAGGTGGCGGAGGAAGTAATTTAGATTACCATGCCAGCAGTGGAATAGGTGTTGTTGTACCTGGTCAAGCAGTTCGGTCTGTTACTTCAAAAGAAATGCCAACAAGTATACAGTTCGGTACTGCCCAAACTCAACAGCAATACACCGGAGCAATTGTTGTGCCAACTGCAGCACCATCTCCCATCAAAGTAAATTGCAAAGTGTGACGATAATAATAAGATGATAATAATAATTAGATAATATTAAAGTATGTATTGTTATAAATGTTATGTTGTATATGCAGCAGGCGAGTGGCTCTGCGGGAGGACTTGGCTCCACATGTAGCAGTAGCAGCATAAGTACTGGCAGTAGTATTGCACATGGTGGAATAGGTGGTGGTAATAGTCATACGATGGCTTCCCAACAACCTACATCAGGATCACAAAATCAAGTCCATACTCAACAACAATCGACAATAAGACATAAGGTTTGTATTATACTTTTTCTTTTTATTTGATCGCAGATGCGATCAATTTTTGTTTGACACGCACACGCGTGTACGCGTGTAGAAAATATAAATTAGATAAACATGTCTATGCACTTATGCACTTGGGCTATTGTAACAAGTTTGTAAATAAGAACAACTGTCACTAGGTACATTCGGGTAATGTAACACCGCTAGCTTCCACTCCACCCGGATCTAATCTGGGAGGAGGAAGTGGATCTCAACAGTTTCAGAGATTAAAAGTAGAAGATGCGTTGTCTTATCTGGATCAAGTAAAATATAAATTCAGTGATCAACCACAGGTGAGTGACAAGACATTATTGAATATAAATTAAGTAAAAATAGATGTATATGCGATGTATTATTTTATATGTATGTACATATGTACGTGTGTGGGTGTGTGTGGGGGGGGGAGGTGTATGTACTATATACACACATATAGTATTATAACTAAACACAAATTGCAATTGAAACATCGATGATTCTACAAATTGGAAAGAGAGTTAAATAATTAACGCAAATCTTTTTGTACTTGCAGGTGTACAATGACTTCTTAGATATTATGAAAGAATTCAAGTCTCAAAGTATAGATACTCCGGGCGTTATAACTCGAGTGAGTCATCTCTTCAAAGGACATCCCGAACTCATCGTTGGTTTCAATACATTTCTCCCACCAGGCTACAAGATAGAAGTACAAGCAAACGAGCAAGGATATGCTTTCCAAGTATCCGTCAGTATGCCTAGTCCTACGGCAACGCATACCGCCACGTTATCGCAACATCATTGTACGGTGAATGTTGGTTCACCTCCTGTAGCTAGTCCACCGACGCAGCCTGCAAAAGCGCCTCCCGTTTTACAAATAATGCAAGGGTAAGCACATTTCGGCGCAAATCTATACATAGTATATCCATATACAGTTTACATTGTTACAAGCTGTTGTGAAGAAAGATGCGATATCTGTAGCTACATCGATTGATTGTTCTTAGGTCAGGCAATATACACCATACTTTGGCAAACAGTATTACAACTAACAGCTTAACTGTTCACGCGCCTTCACCGCCGCCAGTATCAGTGTATAATAATTCACACGTTAGCACTGCACAAGCGCAAGCTGTCAGTCAGGCTTTAAGTCAAGCAGATGGTATGTCAACTGGTGGGCAAACGCAACAAAGCCAGCCGGTTGAATTTAACCATGCGATAAACTATGTCAATAAAATAAAGGTTAGATTATTGGCGAGAAAAAAGAAAGATTACACGAAATATACATAAATGGAAATTAATGTGAAGTAATGTGTTATAAAATTACGTTATTTTTAGAATCGATTCCAAGGTCAACCAGACAAATACAAACGGTTTTTGGAAATATTGCATACGTATCAGAAAGAACAACGGAATTTAAAGGAATCTGGTCATATGGGAGGCACGAGTTCCGGTGCGACAGGTGGAACAAAACACTTGACAGAAGCGGAAGTTTATAGCCAAGTTGCTAAATTATTCGAAAATCAAGAAGATTTGCTTGCTGAGTTTGGACAATTTTTGCCAGATGCTACTAACCAGCAAAGTTCATTGGTGAGTCGGCATATTTATTTTATGATAGGACAAAACGATAATTTCGATGAAATATAATTTTGAATGGAGAATTGCAATCTGCAATAAGGGACCTAATACGATATATAAACAAACTTTTAAACAAATACGTTTATATATATATATATACGTGTGTGTGTGTGTGTGTGTGTGTGTGTGTGTGTGTGTGTGTGTGTGTGTGTGTGTGTGTGTGTGTGTGTGTGTGTGTGTGTGTGCGTGTGCGTGTGCGTGTGCGTGTGTGTGTGCGTGTGCGTGTGCGTGTGTTTACAAAAGCGCGCTCGCGCGTGTGTGAGGAAATATTTTGTTTCTTGTTTTTCTAAAACTAGGATAGCGGAACATATATTTACTTGATTCTCGAAAAGAGGGTAGCGCAAATGAGACGATAATGTTTATAAAATATTTCTCCAATTATAAGTTTGTTATATCGCATTTTAAACTCACATCTACCATATTCCTTTGATCCTTATTTATACAGCAGACAAAAGAAGAGAATATTGTTATAACTTTTATTTTTCTTTTCTTTTTTGCTTACACTTTTTTTTCGGTCGCTGAAAAAGCTATTTCTTTATCGCATAAAGTAGTCAGTTTTGATTCCTATTAGTCTGCCATATTTCAGACGAATAAGACGACATCACTTAACGATCATGCGGCGATTGTCAAGAAACC